GGGACTCGATCCCGGGACTCCAGGATCATGACCTGAGCCGAAGGCAGTCGCCCAACCAACTGAGCCACCCAGGCGCCCTCTAATAAAGAGTATTAATATTGGATACAAATAACTTTTTCTAGTCACATAAAACATTACTGAAACTAGAAATTAAAATGGGCGTTTTCACTATATGTGAAAAAAATTGCATAAAAATTTAGAGAGACATCCCCTTCCAGTATTCTGATTCATCTCCTTACCCTGCTTTATTTTTTCTTCATAGGACTTATCACCACCTGACATATTTTTACACCTATTTATTTATTTTATGTCTCCTCTGCCCTGAAATGTAAGGTCCCTAAGAACAGAATGTTCACTGCTAGAAGCTAAAGTGAGACCAGGCACATAGTAGGCGTTCGGTAAATATTTGTCAAATCAGTGATGGAGGGGAAGATCCTTTAAGGATATGATGGAGATTTGTTTTTAAGTGTTTTCTTTTGTGGGAGAATTTCTTACATGAGAATGTATCTTCAGTTTTATTAGAAATATCATTGGGTTTATAAAATACCAGTTTATAGAAATTGGCCTTCATTTTTTTTCTGGAACACCTGTAAACAAAGGAAAATTATAGTTGGATGTTTTATGAAGTATTTTCCCCCTCAGGTCTTCAGTAGACATTTATGTCAAGCCTCGTAAGTTAAATGTATATTAGATTTTTTTTTCTTTCCAGATTACTCTAAACTTGATATGATATGTAGGAGCAAATGTTCTTTGAGACACAGCATCTGACAAGTTAATTCAATGAAAAATTTTTATTACTCATACTAAGCAAGTCTGCTTTATTTCTAGATAGTTTGTGTGATCTATATAACTATACCTATCTGACCAAGGTTTGGTGCTTTATTTTTATTTCTTAAAAACTCAAAGCACTTTTTTATTCTAAAATATATCTTTGAGGTTATATCACATACCTCAAAGACCAAGTTAGTGTCGTTTAACTTATAAGTTGGAAATTTGGTTATATTTTTATCATGACTCCCTCACAAACAGTATTGACAATACTATGAGTAGTGTCACATTTTTCACTGAAATGGAGAGAAAATACATTTATCTGGTACGTATATTATCTGTTAACAGCTCTGATTTTTAAAATAAATGAATCCACGTGTAAAGAAATCGGAAGTTGTTTTCTTAAAAGAAAAAGAATTCAACTTATTTTTTCTTTCCTTGGCCTTGAAACAGGATATTTAAGAAGTGGCATACTGTGTTAAGAAATAAATTTGATAATTTTGTAAACCCATTGCTTTGTTCCTCCGGATTTATACCTGCCAAAGACCTTATAAGGAATGTTATAAAGTGGCACTTAACATTAATCTCATTTTCTGTTACCTTCTTTTTTACTTCTTTTACTTCAAAACAGGAACACGCATGTTATCTACAAGCTTCCTTCTCACTTACCATCAATTATATTGAAACTAAAAGCATTCTCAGTTGCAAGTAGTCTTTAATGAACTCACTACAATGTCAGAGGAAAATACTGACTTAGAATAACAGTAACTAATTTGAAAATTCCGCTATACCAGCTTAATTTAAAGTTTTTTCTAATGCTTTCAGGAAGCAATTAATTTGTTAGAACCGATGACAAATGACCCTGTGAACTATGTGAGGCAAGGAGCTCTGATAGCCTCAGCTCTCATCATGATCCAGCAGACTGAAATCACTTGTCCAAAGGTGAGCAAATGAAAAAATTCTCCAGAAGAGAGCTGGTTCAGGCTTTTCTTTAGTAACTTACCTTCTTTTAAGGACATTTTTACCTCAAATGTAGTGGACACTAAACTCAAAGGAAGTAAAAAAGGTGGGTAAAAGATAACTTTAATTATATAATCCTCTTTAAATGCATTTTTTTACAGATTTATAGTCACTTTGTTAATTCAACTTTTTAGCCATACTTGAAAAATGAGAACTTACAGGTTGATGAAATCATAAAAATGAACTTTAATTTTTGCCTCCTACTGTCCTTTTAAAATGCGTTTAGCAGGATAACTTGTTCCTCTGATACAGGATGCAAACTCAGGCAGTCCATGACTTTTTGATTCATCTTTCTGAGGCAATAAAAAGTCCTACATTCACTTTATATGGTATATACAATCTCAGTTTAGAAATGAGTATATCCAGATTCTCTGTTAGAATGTCAGTGCCCCCCTGGGAGTGGGGCAGGGTTTCACATGGCTCCAGGACGGCTTTCCTTCCTCACCCACATCCGTTCACAGAACCAGTCCTGCATATTTTGCCCTTGTAGCTAGGAGTATAATATATGGTTCTCAGTGTAGCTTTGCCTGCCCTGTCCCTCTCCTTCCTCTTCTGTCTTCTTCTCCCTCCTCTTCATCTCCCTCACCCTCTCTGCTAGTTACCTCCGTGGACAGCTAATGCCTCTTAACTTTCTATGTCAGATGTCAGTGCACAGTAACCACTGATCTTATTAAGCTCTCCACGTGGTCCCTCTGAAGCCCATCTTTAGGCTTGGAGTGAGGGGGAAAGACCCACAGCTCAGCTTTCCCCACAGAAATCCCCCTCACACATCCTCCTGCAGTTCACTTCTCATAGATACCCTGTGGCTGGCTCCCAGCAAAGATTTTGAGACATCTATTTTAAAATTTCCTCATGACAGTCTCCCAGACATCATGTTAGAGTATGATATCTAATGTATCTTGGCACCTCAGCCAAAATTTCTCATTTTGTTGAGAAAATGCACAGATCTTATTCACATGTACTAAAAATTACCATTTTTGTTGTATTAAATAGGTGTGTGTAGCTTATGCAATAATTTCAGAACTTTTTATTCTTAACTTGAAATTAGAGCATTTAATAGTTTTGTATTAATTTTGCTTCTATTTGAGAAAAAATCAAAAAATTGACAACTAGAAAAACCATTGGCATACTGTCTTCTGCCTCATCAAGCAAATGTAAAACATCTTCATTTTCAGCAAAGTAGATTGATGGGGGGAGGGAGCGTGGAGAAGAGAAAAATTTCCAGAACTCATTGATTATTCATTCTCATTTTATGGAACTTTGTTTAATAGATTCCCATTTCTAATGGGAATCATTTTTATTTTTTTATTTCATTTTTATTTTTATCATTTTTATTTCATTTATCCAGTGCTGCTCTGTCAAAATCATTTGTAAGACTTCCAAAAATTGGATTATTGCAAAAATAGAATCCCAACTTCTCATTCTGTTTTAATAGTATATCACTTCATATATCTTCTAGAACATAAACATCTTTTCAGAGGGTCCACATTTCTTTTTGGCTTTTGTTTTTAAATATAGCAGTTATAATATGAATAGCTTTTGCATCTTTTATTTCTGCTTTTGATCTTCTGAGCTTTATCAGCTGGGGGTTATCCAACTGAGTAATGTTAAAGTAGGAAGTTTAGGCCATGGAATGCACTTCCCCTAACAGTAATATATAGATATTTACTCACTTTGACCTCACATGTTGCTTTCATGTTATTTGTATTGTGAACAAGACAAATAGTTTACTATCTTTTCATCCTCTGCTGTAGAATTTTGTTGATTTTTCAACCATAAACTCTGCACCAACACTGGCAGGGTCCTTTGGAATGGGGATAGGCTAGGGTAGGATGTGTAGTTTGAAAAAGCATTCAACTATTTATTCTAATAGATAAAACTTTTTCACATTTAGAAAAAGTGAAAAAATACAGAATTTAAATAATCAGTATTTTTTAATCATTCCGTAAAATGCCGTTGAACCAAGTCTTAGCTGATGTGAATACATAGGGAGCCCTTCCATCTTCAGCTTGTATCAGAATCTTGAGTATTAATTAAGAATGTCGAAATGCAATTATAGCTGCTAGCTATTGCCATTAATGTAAGCTCCGTGGGGAAAGTTAAATCTGTACCCTACCGACTCTGAAAGCAAAGCTGTGCATGCCAGTGTAAAGCTCCAGTATTTTTTCAGGAAACACTGTTCCTTAGAGGGAAATTGTTAACTCAGCTCATGAATTCTTAAAGTTTGAGTTCTGTTTCGTTGTTTTCTGCTATTAAGCATGCAATAAAGACTTATGTGGACTGTCAAGTTTATATCATCTCTCTTTTATCTGATAATTGCTAACAAGACAACTTGATATTCTTTTGGAATGGTATGTGACATTTTGCTGAAAAGAAAAAGCTGTTAACAAGCTTGAAGAGGGGCGCCTGGGTGGCTCAGTCCGTTAAGCGTCTGACTCTTGGTTTCGGCTCAGGTCCTGATCTCGCAGTCATGGGATTGAGCCCCTCGTGTCAGGCTCCGTGCTCAGCACGGAATTGGCTTCAAATTCTCTCTCCCTCTCCCTCCCCCTCTACCCTTCCATGCACACACTCCTTTCTCTCTCTCAAATAAATAAGTAAAATCTAAAAAAAAAGCTTAAAGAGAAGTTCTCAAGACTACAGAGTCCTAGTAACAAGGTTGCAAACTGGTGCAGGAAATCAAGTGGAAGTAAAATGGAGATGAAGTCTTAATTTCATCAAGACTTACATAACCACTCCTCAGGGGAATCCAAAAGGGACATTTCTCAGATAGTTTGTGAAATTCACAATGGAAAGTTCCAAAGGAGGTATTTTATGTAAGCATGACATACATCACATCCTTTTGCAGAATGCTGTCTTAATGCTTAGTTCTATACACTGTGGTCTCAGTTTAAGTAATTCCAGTGCATCTTTGCTTTCTTCTTCTGCCAGTTTTTTTGTTCACTCACTCTCAACAACATAGACCCAGGAACATGTATACACCCCTGGGTGATTACAAACCCAATTTAGAAAGCCCTTAGACCAGAGATTCAAAACCATTTAACTAGAATAATGTGCTTTTTATAGGTCTTTGGAACTATTTTCACTCAAGAACAAACTCTACTCTTTATGAAGGATCTATCTTTTATTTTCCTTGTTAAATGAAATCCACCTTTAGCATTTTTGAACATGTACATTATTATCATGTACAGAATCGGATAAAAATATTACAGTGTAAAAATAAAATCTCTGGTGCTCCTCCTTGCCTAATATCATCTGGCCTAAGGTTACCTGCTGTGGGTAAGTAACCACAACTGACAGGTACTCTTTTGGCAGTAGGATCATGTTTGGCCAAGCTTGATAAGCTTTTGCATTTCTAAAATCACAATTTGAGTAGATTAGGCTTTTGTGAGCCATCATGGGGACCTAGAAGTATTTCTATGAAGAAATCTTTGAACTTCTATAAGATGAAATTATAAGAATGAAATTTTGTATTATAAGCATAGCATAACACATTTGTAAATGGTAATCTATATTACCATACTATTGCCTTAAGGTAGGAACTTGGACTCTAACAATGTCAGTGATAATATAAAGAAAGGGCTACAAGCAACTACCATAAACAAAATAATACTCGTAAAACTGAGAAGGGAGCTAAAAACATCATTTGGTATATTGATAATGGGGAAATCATGATAACATTGACAATATCTTAAAAGAAGAATAAAGATAATTTTTGTTTTAGGCATGTTGAGTTTGAGATGATAGCAAGTCAGCTGGAGATAAGATGAGAGCAAAGGAGAAAAGTCAGAACTGAAGGTAGAGATTTGGGAACTAACCACAAGGAAATTATGTAAGTCCATAGCCCTCTATCTGCAGTTCTAAAATCCAAAATGCTCTGAAGAGAGGTTTGTTTATTTTTAAGGACTCATTTGGCTGTAAAACTTGAACTAATATGAACTCATTTATAGCCTTTATCCCATTTAGTGTTAATATTCAGTCATTTAGCTGCTTTTTGAAATATGGATTTGTTTGATTATAGGTTATTTTCCCCATGCTCCATTGAGAATATTGCATAATGTATGGTATATACACCATGTTATCTTTGTAAATTCTGAATTCCAAAATTCATCTGGCCTCAAGGATTTCATGGAAGAAGTTACAGACCTATAGTTGAAGTCGTAAGAGCAGATGTAATGTCAGAGAAAGAGAAAAGAAAGACAACTTCAAAACTGATCCTTGATGTGCTGTTTTATTTCTATATGCAGGAAAATAGAAGAAAATTGAAAGGAAACATACCCAGTTGATAAGTACCAACAGAAATAACCCCAAAGAACTTTATTTCCTTCTCCCCATTTTTTTTTCTGAAAGTGTTTTTTCCCCCAGCAGTATAAGGTATAGAGTTTAAAAATATGATGAATGTTAAAAATGCATGAATTTGGAGAAGGTAGATTTTTAGATAATCATGTATAGCAGAATGAATGCATGGATCACAGGATTGCTTAGAATTTGTCTTTTCTGTGAGACTATCGTAATATAAAATGAGAAATAAATGTTTTTCTCCCACAAATTGTATGGGGGCACCATACTGTTCATAACAGTGAAATTGAACCAGGAAATCATGATCCTCACCATGATTGCAGTTAGTTGCTTGATCACAAACAAGCCAGTCATTTCACCTGTTTTACTTCAGTTTCCCATCCGTAAGTACAGGGAGTACATGATCTCAAACTTGCCTTCAAATTTAAGATACTATCCTAACCTACTAAAATAATAATTCTTTATGAAGAATCATAAACATGAGAATTGTTACTGCTCCATAAGTAGTAAAATGTGAGGAAAAGAATTTTTTTTTTTTTTAAAGATTTATTTATTTATTTATTTATTTGAGAGAGAGCACATGAGAGGGGTTAGGGTCAGAGGGAGAAGCAGGCTCCCTGCCGAGCAGGGAGCCCGATGCGGGACTCGATCCGGGGACTCCAGGATCATGACCTGAGCTGAAGGCAGTCACTTAACCAACTGAGCCACCCAGGCGCCCAGGAAAAGAATTTTTAAATGATAAACAGGAAATAGCTCTTTGAAGTGGTCTACTTAATTGGATAATCCTATTACATATTTGTATTGATTTTTTTTAATCCATCTTTCAGTTTCACTGAATATTTGATTTCCTATTGTTTTGGGTGTGATTTTATATTTAAATTCTTCCTCATAATGTACATACAGTGCTTTGTCCAGTGTTACTTTTTATAAGTTCATGACATATTTCATAAACCTTTAAGCACATAAAATTTCCATCCTATATAAGGTAATGTAAGTGTTCATCTAAAATAAGTTCAGAATCAAAGGAATTTGATCTGTTGAACCAGAGTAAAAGCATCAAACCTTAGGATTTTTAAAACTAGAAGGGAATTTTATGATGATCTAGTCATGCTGGTTTTACAGTTAGAGAAAATAAGACCTAGAGAAGTAAATGGCTCACTAATGGTTATATGCTAGGTAATGGCAGGGTGAGTTCATTGTTTTCCCATCACATTTTTTAGCAGTATTATGTTGCAGAGATAATAGTCAGGGGGGACTGGTAGGGTTCTGCCACAGTATGGTAGGATAGCCATGCTTACTGAACTATAAAACGCTGTTTACACATTACATTACATATATATTGCATCATATAATCCTTACAGCAGCATAAAATCTTAAAAAAAAAAAAAAAAAAAATGGGACGCCTGGGTGGCTCAGTTGGTTAAGCGACTGCCTTCGGCTCAGGTCATGATCCTGGAGTCCCGGGATCGAGTCCCGCATCGGGCTCCCTGCTCGGCAGGGAGTCTGCTTCTCCCTCTGACCTTCCTCCCTCTCATGCTCTCTGTCTCTCATTCTCTCTCTCTCAAAATAAATAAATAAAATCTTTAAAAAAAAAAAAAAATCCTTACAGCAGCTGTGTAAGATAGGTTCTACAATCCCTATAGGGATGAAGAGACCGAAGCACATAAAAGCTAAAAACTTCCTAAACGGCTTATTGAAGCAGAGATATTTATAAGCCAGGTTGTCTGATTCTGTATTACCCTGCACAGCATGGCCTCCAAGACCAAGACAAGTGAAGAGGGAAGAGATTCTGAAAGAATATGTCATGCAAGTAAGGTCATTATATTAGGAAACTCAAAAATTCGATATTCTCTGCTTGGGGCAGATTTGGGGAGCTCCATGATCATGTGCTTCTTGAACAAGCAGACTTCATCCTGGGTGCCTACCACTTGAAAAGCACTGGTGGGAAAACAGAGAAGTGTAAGACATGGAGGAAGCATAAAACAGTTCCCTTATTGTCACTCAAACAGTTTTAAAGCAATCACAAATATATTGAAAACATGTATTTTATAAATTTTATTTTCTAATTGTAAAAGTAATATATATTAGTTTTAGGAATGCAGAAAAGAATAAAGAAAAATTACTAATAATCCTACCATAAGTGAGTTAGCACATGTTCCATTTTGGTGTGTTTTTTTGACAAGAGTAATTACCGTGACATGTTCTCAAAAAATTAATACGTGTGTGTAATGAATATCTTGATGTGAATATACACTAAATCCAAAATATGCCTCACACATCTTCAGTAAAGGGTGGTTTACTTGAAGATAGAATTGAAGGATTATGCCTGCTAGGAAATCTGTAAGAGTGATGGTAAGCAAAGTAGCTGTTATTCACAGTACAATGAAAGCTTCAATGTTTGTAACTGTTTAAGCCTGCTGACTAACAGTGCTGCAATACGAAATCACATTCAACATTCCCATGAGTCTGAATCATCCACTGTGGAATGAGGATTGAAAACAGAACTGGTGCTCCCACACCAGAAAAGTCATAACACCCATGATTTCAAACATGGAACTTTTGCTGCCTTGAAATCTGGTTTGTATCTCTCTCTTTTTGAATGTTGTGAATTTCAGAGCTCAAGTTTCATTATAATTTGAACAATCTATTTTCCCTGGTCTGAAATGACACCACAAATGAATATTGATATGACTATAATTCTTTTGCGTGTTCCTTCAGGTGAATCAGTTCAGACAGCTGTATTCCAAAGTCATCAATGATAAACATGATGATGTCATGGCTAAGTTTGGCGCTATTTTGGCGCAGGGCATACTGGATGCAGGTAAATGTTAAATCTTCCAGATGTATTTATCTATTTAAACTAACTCTGATGAAGTAACTATCTGCTCTAACTATATGACATAGTAGAAACTGGGGAAATTATTTGGGGAATTATTGGAGAAATTTTCTGGGGGGAAATTATTCCTGGAGAAAACATGGAGCCTATAGTTCATAGAACTTGACACTGAATTGGCTGGGTTTTATCAGTCCCTAGTTTACATTCAAGTCCATTTTCTATGGGTTTTGACAAATGCATAAATACATATCCACTATTACATCATAGGCAATAGTTTCACTGCCCTAGAAATCCTCTGTGTTCCACCTTTTCATCTCTCCCTCCTTCTGCACAATCCCCTGGCAACCACTGATCTTTTTATTGTCCCTATAACTTTAGTTTTCCCCTTTCCAGAGTATTATACAGCTGGAATCATACAGTATGTAGCCATCTGAGATTGGCTACTTTGGGTAATTGGTTTTTAAATAGGATTTAGGAGTAACGTTTTACTACTCCATAATCTATTTCTTTTAGCTGCCAGTTTTTGAGGTTTGTAGTTTTATATACAACCCTTTACTTGTTCATTCAGTACAACTACAGTTTTTTTGCTGGTTTCTGCTATATTATTTGTGAAGAATTAGGGGAGGATACTTCTCTGTTTCAGCTTTATTCTACCATCTTTACTAGAAGTCCTCTCTCTCCCTCCCTTCCTTCCCCTTTCAGCCCCTCTCTCCCTTCACTGCCTTTTGTATCTCTGAATTGTCGTGGACCAATCAAGTTTTGATGCTTCTTTCCGTTTCTTTTTATTTATTTTTTTTTCTGCCTTACTTATTTTAGTGTTATTTCGTACATAAAAGTTCTGTACTGTTGTGTTCACTATTACAAGCAAAATTATTCTCTCACCCCTTTTCACTTTGTCAATATCCTGTCCTCCTACAAACTGTGCTGCAACTGCATTAGAAAAAACGTGTAGTCCTGCAGTCTGGCTCTCAGAAGTTAGTGTTAATGGAGGAACTCTGAAGGTCAACTTCAAAGGAATGAGTGAAGTTGAAGTTTATGAGAATTCACTCGATGATTTGGTCTCTTCAGGGAGAAGAGCCAAAGATTAAGATTTATGATTGAAGTTTGTAAAACTGTGTAAACACTACCAACAGGATAAACTCTTTCTTGTTTTGTATTAAATCTCAGACTGTTAGAACAAAAGGCTAGTTTAGTTTCTAAGTCTGAAGAAAATGGGTTTCATTGAAATAAAGGGAATTCAGCTTCAAAACTTAAAATAAGTATCATGTTCTCTGAGCAGCCTTCCCCTCTCCTCTGCCCTACCCAGCCTTCACCCTGGGACATACATGTTTAGCTGTATGTCCTCACTAGTGCCCAGGTTTCAATCTCATAATGCTTGTATACCCTAGTTTAATTATCTAGTTGTCTTCTCCACTAGGCTAGAGGCTCCTTGGGATCTCTTTTCAGTATTTTGTTCAAAATTCTCAATATATAGTAAGCATTTGGTGAATGTGGAGGTTAGAGCACAAGCAGACAATAAATGCATATAACTCATCCTTATTGGAAAAACAAAACTAAAGGATACCTGATTTTTTCCAAATAAAATCTAGATTATTTGATTCTTAGAAAAAATTAAAGTGCTTTTTTAGTTTAGTAAAAGTAATACTTCCTGACTAATGTAGCAGCATCTGGGAGAGACTGAAGTTAAAAGAAGTGAAATGTGAGCAATAGGGATCCAGAATTGGAATTCAAATTAGGATGGTGACTAGGTGCAGACAAGCTCCATTTTTATAGCGTATCTTTTTTTTTTTTCTTTTTAAGATTTTATTTATTTGAGGGGCTCCTGGGTGGCTCGGTCGTTAAGCATCTGCCTTGGGCTCAGGTCATGATCCCTGGACCTTGGGATCGAGCCCCACGTCAGGCTCCCTGCTCGGCGGGAAGCCTGCTTCTCCCTCTCCCACTCCCGCTGCTTGTGTTCCCTCTCTTGCTGTGTCTCTCTCTGTCAAGTAAATAAATAAAATCTTTTTTTTTTTAAGAACAATTTCTGCCCTTATCAATACAATAATAATTGCTAAAGAAAAAAAAAACAATTTTTTCATTATCAAGGCATATTTACCAATTTGGTATTCAATCAGAGTTATACTGGGCAATTTAGATCTTTTGTGCAGCTTTGGAAACATCCCAGAGTCTCTATAACAGCTTTTGTCTTCTGGTACAAAACACAAAATAAGCAAGAAAGATAAGAATTGATGTAGGGCATTGTGTGCCCCCCACACCCTCATGGTTATTACCCACTATGGAGGAAGCACAAAGGAATGACTGTAATGCTCTAATGCAGAGCTGTGGTTGAGGAATCACTGATATGTTCTGTTTTCTTTGTGTATAGTCTCTGAATACTGAAGATTAATATCAATAATTAGAATTCCATGCGCAACTTTTAATTCTCCAACTTCCATGTGAAATCTAACTGCTGTTTCCCATAAGTTAAAAAGAATTGGTTGAAATTCTTCCATCTTGATTTAAAACCTTTTACCTATAACACTGTCTTCACTTCCTCTATTTCTTATCAGGACCCCTGAACAGTGTCCCAGCGTTGTTTCATTGCTGTCAGAGAGTTACAATCCTCACGTGCGTTATGGAGCTGCTATGGCCCTGGGCATCTGCTGTGCCGGTACAGGAAACAAGGTAAAGCCCAAAGCCACTGGGGTCAGTTCTTGCCTGGCACCAGACTGTTTTCCCTAGCAGAAAAGTTGGTATAACCACTGTAAAAATGCAAGTGTGGTGTGATCTATGAGAGTTAACTTGTCTCGCACAGCTTCCCAGAACTTCCTTCCTCACTTTACCATGGTTGCTCAAAGCGAGTTAAGAACAAACCACCACATTGCGTGGGTGACCAAACAATGCTGTTGAATTTCTTTTTGAAAGCATTGATTTCTTTTTAAAAAAATTCTTTAAAGAGTTAGTCTGGTCACTTAACATGGTAATTTATATGTTTAATTGGCATTATTAGGAATCAAGGTTCTTGTATGAGACCACCAAAATCAGCTAACTTTGATTCTTTTTTTTGTTTGTTTTTGTTTTAAGCAAATCACTTAACTGCTATTTGCCTGATTCTCCTCACAAATCTAATAGGTAACGTGGTATTTGTTAAATCTTCAAAAGTGACAAAATATAAAGAGTTGGGTTAGGCAAGCAAATGACTGTAAAATACAATTCATCGTGAGATTCATAAAGAAATGTGCTGTTGCTTAAACAAGTATTCTTCATTCGCAGCAATGGCATAATCATCACATTTTTGCCTTTCATAGCACAAACGTACACACCTTCACCACCCCCCAAAAGATGAACTTTTCTTTTAATGGAGTCCGTGTGTGCATGGGTATGTGTGTGTGTGAGAGAGAGAGAGAGAACACAAACATAATGAGAATAGTGAGAACATAAAGAACAAGATTAGAGCTAGGTTATGCTTCCAATGTCTTTATATCAGAGGAGGAGTCATTTTTTTATCCTCTCTTGTCCACAATAAAATAAAATAAAACAGTTATTTATTGATTGAGTCCAGGAATTAAATTTTAATTTGCTTCACTTTTTCTCTAATAAAGAGTATTTTTTTTTTTTTAATTTATTTGCGAGAGAGAGAATGAGAGA